AAAAATTACTGAGGCCCTTCCTATGGGGCCCCCATTTTTTAAAACTTTTTTTCATGTTTCCGATCATTCTGAGCCCGAAAATGCAAAAAAAATGTTTCGTCTGGTCGTCTGTGTGTATGTATGCCGGCTCTAGAACAAAAGTTCTGATTAACTTGCGGTTTTGATTTTCTTGAATAATTACTTCTAACTTAGTACCCTATTGATTTTCAGAATTTTCGGTTCATCCTAACTACTTTTATCAATTTTCTTAAAATCCGCCTATGCATTTCTTATGTGACAATTTTTTAGGAATTTCAATCTTTTCTAACGTCTATCATTCCTAACATTCTTAACATTCCATAAATTGCAAACATTCTCTAACGACCTGTCAAACAACAGCTGTTGATAGTAAAGGTGAGATTTCTAAGGCGGATTGCGACCTTCATACTTGCAACCATAGCCATTTTGGAGGCTATTTTTATTCGAAATTAGTCGCCAAGCCTGCCAATTTATGAAAAATATATAAGCAGTTTCTTAAAAATTACTTTTTTTATGGTAGTGCTAACTTAAGCTTACTATTATTTCGCCCTAAGCCACAAAAACACCAACAAATTTACTGGCTCTCTGTCGCAACCCCATAGAATAATTAACCGGCCATTTTATTTGGCAAAATTCAGAATAATGCTTGGCTGTGCCTGTCAAGTATTAAGATGTCAAATTATTTAAAAATGTATGCTTCTTTTGATATTTATTGCAAATAATAAATGCGGGTAAAACGAGGGATAAACTTACAATAAAATAAGGGAAATATTTAAAAATGGCAGGTTTAAAGAGTATATCCGTTCTGTTTATTTATCAATTATTGTTTGAGGTTACTTTTAAATAGATTTATTGTTGTTTTTAATTTCTGTAGACAGTCTATTAAATTTTTAAACCTTTAATAAAAATATTATGGGAACTTTTAGTGATGGTTTGCCGTACATTGTATTATAGTTGTGATCATGGTAGTTGTGATATTGCGAATTATATTGAATTTTTTCTAATAGATCTGATGCGATAATATTTTCAGGCCCATGACACTCCCTGGGCGGGAAAAAGACGCGCAGTTTTTACTGCGCTGACGTTTTCGGGATATAACCTATCACTTGTCATAAATCCGGTTAAAAACTCGCTACCATGCGCAGGCAACCCATATTTCGTACACAAATATAAACTTTTGTTTACATTTTATCGAAGTAGTTTTTGTAATACATTCACAGCTTAAACGCGGAAAATTTGTTATTTTGATAGTGGATTTAGATCAAAAATACCCCAAATACACTTCAGTGTGTGTTTTATCCTTATTATTGCTCGTTTTATTTGAGGACATTGGAATAAATAGAGTACTAAAAGTAATCAAGCTAAAAAGGTGTGTTATAAAAAGAAAATACATTGCCTTCGACTGATTTATGTTTAATATCTTTTCGTGAAGTATTTCCAACATGCTAGTTACTTGAATGATTGTAAATTGTATGTGTATAAGTGATAAAAACATCTAGTGCTTTGTGCTAAAAGCAGAATACAATATTTCTCTGCAAAATGTAAACAACGCTACAAGGAAAATTGCTCATGTATAAATTCAACAATTCAATCAAAATTAATTATTTTTAAAGGACTTATATCAACTATTATGTGAATTATAAATATTATAAGTATTTGTAACAAAATAATAGTTGTGTATTAATAAACCTGTTGCTACTCCAAAAAATATATTATTTATTGATTATCAGGTATCAAAAATATGTGTACCTATAGGAATTTGTTGAAATGTTCTATTGCTCTAAATCTTTTTATTATAGTTGTGAATAAAAATCAACACTTTTTATCCGTCTATTTTAAGTTGTAAGGATCCATAGCCTCTTAATGTTTTACATTAGAAATAAGACCTGTGATGTCACATTAAATCGTGAATATGAGGTAAAGGATTTGGGAGTTGTCTTTCAGTCTAATTTGAAGTTCAATAACAATTTTTTACACATAACTAAAAAATCAATAAAAGCATTAGGTTTTTAAATCAGAAATACAAAAAAATTTAGGATTACCACCAAAATCAGATTATATAATGCCTTAATAAGACTCCATCTTGAGTATGTTTCACAAATATGGATGCCCTTGGAAGCCACACAAATTGATCATATTTAAAAAGTACAAAAAATATTTTTACGGTACCTTTATGTCATAAAAAATACTTGTACCCTTATACCTAAGATCTCGTATAAAACTATGCTCAATAGTTTTAAGATTAAATCTCTTTTACAAAGAAGAAAGTAACAGGCTGTGATATATTTTGTACTCTATTTTAAGTACAAATATTGTGAATTGATTGACTATATAAATGTTAATGCGGCAAAGATTAATCTAAGAAACCCAAGTAACAAAAAATTATTTGATTTAGATCCAAGTGGTATATCTCCTTTTAACAAGATAATGGCTGTTACCAATGAGTTTCTTAGCGAGATCCAAATAGATATCTTTAATGTTAGCCTAAGAAAGGAAGTTGAGGACTGTACTAAATTAAGTTCACTAGATATGAAGGTTTGTTTTGTTTTTGGTCTTAAATTTCTTGTTACTTAACTCTACATACTATTACTATTAATGTTTTTATAGTATCCAATAAATAAATTATACCTTATGGCTGCTTTCAAACAATTCTGTGTGTAGTCACTTAGTTTAAAGTCAATTTTAAATTAGTGGTTTTACAAGAATGTCAAATAGTAATATGTATTGTGTCTATGAATTTGCTGTGTGTAGTAAATGGCCAATATACATAACTTTGATATTTTTATCACAAGTGTAAAAACTACGAAAACCATATACATATAGTTCCCATTTTAAAATAAATTCAAATTAATTCATAATAAAAAATAACGATTTTAGTCTGCCATACTTGAACTCATTCACAAAAACAAGTCACTGAGTATATACAGGGTGTTTCCGAACTTGCCGTCCAAATTTGTAGGGGTGGTAGTTCGCATAATTTGAGACCGATTCGCAGATTTCATTTTTCCAAAATATTTAAAATAAAAATAATTAAAAATTAATTAAAAAATTTAAACAGGTACGGTCCGGCCGGGCGGAGGGAGAAATTTGCAAATCGCATCTGTTTTTGAGTTGTAAATCCCGATGAGTAACCGATCAGGTGACTATTACGCTACGCGCTCAGGGTAGGACCCGCTTTTTGATTTTTTTTATAATGGCTCTATTTTGTTTATTATAATTTTTTTAGAAAAATGAAATCTGCCAATCGCTCTCAAATTATGCGAACTACTACCCCTACAAATTTGGACGCCAAGTTCGGAAACTACACTAAATATGTCTCCGTTACAAATTTTTAAATTTAAAACTACATACTTTCCTATAGATTTTGCATAAAGCAATACCTCTATTTTGTTACTCTAACCTTGTGTTTTATATATTTCCCTTGACAAACTAACGTTATATTTTGAACTAAAAGTAATTAAACTTTTCACCAAAAAGTAATATTTCACATATATAAAAAAAATTAAAACGGTTCTGTCCTTCTTACATTTGCGAAGACTGCCCTGATATCTAATCTATTTTCTTCTTCAAAGTAATTAAGTTGTTCAACCGTTGTCTATAAAGGTATCTCACATCTCCCTCATACACACGAATTTGAAAAGCAGCAGAACAAAAATTCAACTAACCATGTATAACAAGTCCGTGCAAAGAAAACTTTTCATATCCCGAAAACGTCAAGTGTCAACTAAAATTTCTACTTTTAAAGATCAAACGTGCCGCCTCAGAGAGTGCCAATACTGATTGGTATATATACTGGAGTATTTTTATTTCATAAATAAATATCAGTCATGTACTAAACATACTTCTGAACTGAAAGCCAATTTATTTCTTTTAACATAGTTGCAATACTCATCCTTCTGTCCTTTATTAACAGAATATAAATGGGCGAAGTAAGGAGCCCAAATATTTTACATGAGCAGGCTTAAGAGGTAAAGGGGCCAATTATTATTGGATAAATTGCTCGAACAAGTTTTTAACCCTTATCAAAAAAGGTGATATAAAATGGTTTTAAAAATCAAGGCTTGTGAAAATCATTACATGGTTTAACCCTAAGTAATGCCAATGCTTCACAAACCAAAAAATTTAACGTCCTAATACTACTATTGGCTTTCGGTCTTTCGTTCCAAGTTAAGCCATTTCTTGTTTTTGTTACGCTACGAGTTTACCCTTGTGGGCCTCAGATTCGATAAGGTGGGAACCACTATTTTAGCGTCTCTCGAATTATTCAATGAAAACCGTCGAAAAACCATAGCAACATAAAATATTATTTTATCAATGACAACCAATACAAAAAACCATTTTAAACGAAAACAAGTTATTTTATCGATATTGATCAAGAGTACCTTTTTTAGTGTAAGGTTTAAAGCTGTCCAAAAATATTATTGTTACGTCTTTATCGTACAGGGTGTAAAAAATATTAACATTATTGTGTTAAAGCTAGTCTGTCCCTGGCAAACTAAATAAGTCAAATGTGTTTAAAATGTTTAAAACTTGTCATGTTATTTTTATGTGTCCTATCTGAATCCGGGAGATTGCCCACATATTCTGTGACACCCTGTATAAGTCAACATATTATCAACGTTCCATTTTATGAAGGGTTAATTTTACTAAAAAAAATTTTTATTTTATATACATATACATTCTTAATTAATATTAATTATTTAATGACAATTGAGGCCATATAAAATTAAAACAGAACATTACGTAAAACAAAAGTTATTGTAGATATAAGAGATGAAAGTTTGTTAACATCATCCAGCGAAAGCAAGTACATTTTTAAATAAAAATTTTAACAAAATAAACGTAATTGGATAAATCCACCCTTAGATAATGTTAATCTAATTTCTATTCACTTTTACTACTGAAGGAAATACGAATTACTGTATATAATTATTTTAAATCAAATATTGGAATTTTAAAATTATAACTTTTAAAATACTAACCATGTTTCCTGGGACAATGTGTACTCGGTTTAGGTTCTTGCAAATTAGGCCTTGCAGAACAGTCAATATTAAAAGGTAAATCACACTTTTCGTACTCAGAACTAAAGTCGTTGAACACTTGTCCATCTGGACACAGTTTCTCCTTGATTTTTCCATTATCGCAATGGTAGTATTTGTCGCACTGTTCTGCATCCGCAAAATAACCATCAGGTTCGGGACACTGGTCCGAAATATCCGCGTTTGATTCCTCCTGTGGTTTCTTTTTCCCGTTATTATTACGTGCCCCACTTACCCCCACATGTAGCACCACGAAGAAAACGAAAGTCCAGATAACACGGTTGGCTGACATGGCTAATACAACTAACTGGTGGTAAAAGAAGTTTTAAGACTTATATGCCCAGGTAGCACCTAGAGGTGGATGAATAATTACAATGAACGTAAGAATAACAACAAATTTTAACAAGAATTTTCAAATAAATATTGAGAAGAACACTTAATATTCTTTCTAAGAAAAAAATTTAATAGAAAGTCCTAGCAAAATTTGACCAATCTGTTTAAATTATTATAGTACACCTAATATCTCCGAAACCATACAGAATACAAACTTGAAAATTAATATGTAGAGTAGGTACTGTAGAATAAAATATAAAGTATGTTAACCCATGGATCCTTCGAAATAAAGATGAGACGCTTAATTATATTTTTACGTGAGGAAATTAGGAGAGATTCTCATAATTGGGCTGCCTCCCTGCAGTAATTGGATAGATGGATACACATCTATCACTAGTGGGCTGGCGCGCACTGTTCTACCTGTGACGTCGCTTATTCTATATCGTTCTTCTGACGACATTGTATGAGACTCAATATACTGTATCTACGATTTCTTATATTCCAGTTACGAGGGCGTATTAATTTTTTTTGCCTAAAAAAAGAGCCTATGAGTAGAATCTTCTCTCAATATAATTTTGAAATTTTTTATCATTTATGTCTAGCTCCTGATTGGAAAAGTATTTATGAAGATATTGACTCTAAATTTTAGGACTTTTTAACCGACTTCAAAAACGGAGAGGTTCTCAATTCGTTAGAATATATACAGGGTGTTAAAAAAAAGTGTCACAAAATAAAACGGGGGGTAGTATGGGCCAAAATATGCAGAAAAGTCTTAATAAACATATGTCCGCAAATGAATGGTTTCATTTTTTGATTATCTTTTTTCATTCTCAAAAACTTGCTTTTCTTATCGGAGTCTACCGATGTTTTTTCATAGATACTATTTGCAGTTATTATTTTGTTGTGGGTGAATAATTTTATAAATTTTCGTTATGCCTGTTTACACTAATATTGAATTAGCTGACGCATTTTATGTACGGTCGTGCAAATGGTAATGCATTGAAATGGGGGGAGGGCACTTTGAACATCTCATTTAACTCTATGTTGTTATTGATTGTTTATAAATATCATTGTTTTTTTATAATAATAAAAAATTGTTATAAACACAAAATGGTCCGTATCTCCGAAACCGTTAATTTGCGGTCATATATTTATTAAGACTTTTCTGCTTATTTTGGGTCATACTATTCAACATTTCATTTTGTGACACTTTTTTTTAACACCCTGTATATTGTTTTATGTATGTTCAGCGATAACTCTTTAACACGGTGTCCGATTTCAATGATTCTTCTTTTGTTTGAAAGGGGGTACTTCAGGGGTGGTCCCATATAAATTTAGTCCAAATTTAATGATAGGGTCCATGAGAAAATCCTCAAACTCTTCATTTTTTTATATATGTTTAGTGACAATTCTTTACCACTTTGTCCGATTTCTAGGATTCTTTTTTTGTTAGTAAGGGCGGTGCCTCAGAGGTGGTCCCATATAAATTTGGTCAAAATCTAATAATTGAGTCATAAAAAAATCCTCATAATCTTTATTTTTTATGTATATTTAGCGATAATTCTTTGTCACCTTGTCCGATTTCTATGATTTTTTTTTTGTTAGTAAGGGGGTACCCCAAGGGTGGTCATATATAAATTTGGTTAAGATGTGGGGATGGAATCTGCACGATTTTTTAAAACTACTTTTAATACTTGTAAATACTTTAAGATCGACCAAAAAACAAAAAAAAAACACGAGGAGCCCCCTTTAATTTTTAATTTAAATTTCAACTGTCTACCTATTACAAATAGGGTTACCAGATTTACGAAAGTAATAAGCGTGACAACCGTGACGACAAGGCATCAGGTTCGAATACCAAGCATTTTTATATAGGTCCTCAGTTGTATTTTTCGTAAACGAGGGTCCTTTAGCTGAAATTTTTCTAAAAAAAAACTCAGGTTATATATTTTTATAAAATCGGGTTCCTCCTTCTTATTTACGGCTTTGAATATTAAAAAGCGTGGCATTTACGTAAAAAACGTGGCATTTGCGTACTTTGGCGTTGCGCGTACAAGCAAGTCAAAAAGCGTGACAAATACGTCTAAAGCGTGTGGTCTGGCAACCCTAATTACGGATCATAAGATACAGCCCGCTGGCAGACAGACGGACAGACATCGCAGGCTTAGTAATAGGGTTCTGTTGGTTACCTTTCGGGTACGGAGCCCTAAAAATGAAATTATAATGACGGATATTGCATATCCAAGGTAATTGTTTTTCCTGTTTTGTTTAGTTATTCTTATATTATATTATTCTTTTATGTTTAGTTTTTAATTTTAATTTAAGTAAATTTGTCTATGACAATAAAGCATCTTTTTTTCTCTCACGCAAGCATGTGCGTCGTCGTACATGTTTTCGGGTTTGGCTGAAATTCATCAACGTACAAGCTTGAACGTGCATGGAAGATTATCGGTGTGTGGCCAAGTATCACGCTTTGTTCACATTCTGTTTACGTTTACAAAGCGGTATTCGTAGTAACACATTCCTTGCACGCATGCGCATGCCGGCCCGTCAATATAACGGCTTCTCGTAGGGTGGCGGCTTAGTCGCCACCAGCTAATATCAACCCCTACCTAGCTACGCCGACCGGCATAGACTCCAACAGCCTGGACGCAGCTGAAATTGAAACAAAAAGTCTCACCTACCACATTATATTCCATACATTTTGAGAACAGTGTCTTGTCTCCTCAGGTACAGTTTGTTTCCTGATTTCTCGATGTCAGATTTAAGATACTTTTTCTAAAATATATTTCATTTACTTTATAGACGTTATCCCTGTTTATGAAAGTTAAAAGTAGTGATTACAATAACCGCAATAAAAAAGATGCAGCTTATGTTTTATTTAAAAAAATATTTTCTTTATCAAGCCTCGGGTAATTTCGCCAATAATCAGGCTCTAAGCGCAATTTTTCGAGAAGATTATTATGAGTATATTCTAAAAAATTTTACCCATTTTATGGTTCTTCCACCATTTTTTTTGTTTTGTTTTGTTTTTGATTAAAGCAATGTACGATGCTGCTAATGGAATACAATCGTCTTCACTACTTATCGTACACTTCCAAACTAACTTGTCATTCATGTACGTCAAATATGTATGACAAACATGAATGCTAGTCTATATGGGCACCTATACTAATATAAAACTATTCAAAGCAGACAATTTTTTATCAATATGTTTGCTCCTGCTGATATCTTCGATCAGGTTCACAACCAATGAGATAAAATTTTCTCATGATTGACGTTTCCATTTTGTTACATGCTGTCAGACTGCCAGCATCTGTTATTGTTATATTTGGTTATTTATAACTAGAGGTAGTAATAAACGGGATAATTATAGACTTTTATTGTTCCTTCGAAGCTGATTTTTATGGAATGCTCACTAATCTTCTAGGGAATCCTCACTATGGTCATCTTCATCCAAATTAATATAAGCGCAGCAGCAGCAGCAGCAGCAGTTGTTTTTTCTAAAGCTTCTTTTCATGTAGCTAGTGTTTTTTCTGCTGAAGTATCATCCTTTTCCACATTGCTATAATAATTTTTAGTGGTGTCCCAAATATGTTCAATAGAAGTTCATTATACAATTGTAAGGAGGTATCTAAGTATCTTATGTCCATATTTTTCTGCGAAAATATCAAGCTTCATATACTTCTGGTGGTTTATTCCTACAAATGATTAATTTTTTAAAACATTTTTTTTTTTATTTTTAAGCACACATTATCATCTGTTGTTACGTCAGTAAATGATTTAATAACAGCTATAAAATGTTTTGGAAAAGTAGAGTTTTCCTGTCATTCAATTTCTTTTTGAACTTTATTAATTTGATGATTTAAACTCTAATATGAATTAGTTTAGTATACATAATACATTTAGAAATTTTTACATTAACTTTTGTACCAAATTTAATAATTGTGTGTTAACCAAAGTTGTTTCAAAAGGAATTCATCCTTTTTGGCAGCTGTTGTCTGCTTTATATTGATCACCGTACTGTGGTAACTGGCATTATCCATAAAAATTGTAGAAGGTTCTTCTAAGTTCATTAAAAGCTGATATTCAAACCAATGCAAAATATTTTCTCTATTCATTTCGCCAAGGTAATCACCATCCCGTGTCTTAGAAGAAAATACCCAATTCTACTCCAGAAGTATATCCAGAAGATATACCTTCAATAAAAAATTAAGCTTAGCAAAAATTTAACAATATGCCATAAATAAATAAAAATAGGAAAATCGTATTACCTATAAAGTAAATACTAAATTAAAATAATTATGTTTAAGTATCTTGAATCACCAATTGAATTACCAACTTTGGTTTTCCTCACACTTTTTAAGATAAGTCTGATAAGTCAGAGTCTTGCCAGGAACGTCCAACTGTGCCATCTTTAAATATCCATGTCTCATCCAAAAAACAAACTGATACAAGCCTTCCCTCTTGATTTTAACATATTCGTGTAAAGCAATATATGTATGGTAACTCTATTAAACCACAACGTGGATCATCTTTTTTCTATTCAAACCAATGTTTCTTAAAATCTCCATAGTGACGATATAGAACAACTGAAAAATGCACGCTCCTGAAATTTTTGTTTTAATGTTTGTAAGGTTATATAATCCTCTGAAAAAATACTTATGTTAAATAATGTGAATATTGAATATAGTATGTTTGATATACACTTACTTTCTGTACATTTCATAAATAACGTTTCGGAAAGCATTTTGATCAAAAAGATGGAATGAATACGTCAGTATGTAAAAATTGAAAATTTTATATTCCTAATATTAAATAAAAAATATAAAAAGTAAGTAATAAAAAAAATTACACACTGACGTATTCATTCCACTTACATCTCACTATAGTTTATTTGAAAATGCATCATAATATAGTTTTATGGCAGGATTGCTCAAAGCAGAAAAAAGTAAATAT